GTACTGTGAGCCAAGTCACCTCTGTGGGCTTGTCCGCAATGAAAGTGGGATAAATGATGCTGTCATCGGTTAACCCTGAAAAGACCTGCAGTGCTAGAAAGGAGAAGTGACAGACCACACTGGTGCATGATGGTAGAGTAGCGGTTTCCCCCTTTTACTTTACAAAAAAATAAATAAATAAAATTCTTAAAAAAAAAAAAAGTAAAAATCTTTAATTTTTTTAATTAAGGGGGGTTGACTTATTACAACTAGTAAATATTTTTGTATGCACATTTCCAAAGCAGATGTCGGCAATTATGGCCTCCGTACTGCTTTTGTAATTATTTTCTTGAAAATACATTTGAGAACCATTTTTTACCTTTTTTTTTTTTTAAGAATTTTATTTATTTTTTTGCAAAGTAAAAAGGGGGAAACCGCTACTCTACCATCATCATGCACCAGTGTGGTCTGTCACTTCTCCTTTCTAGCACTGCAGGTCTTTTCAGGGTTAACCGATGACAGCCTCATTTATCCCACTTCCATTGTGGACAAGCTCCCAGAGGTGACTTGGCTCACAGTACTTACATGGTGTGTAGGTGCTGCTCAGTACAGGAGGAAGACCTGCCCACCACTGAAGAAGAAAAAATACCCTGAACACAGCAAGAAAGCATCACAGTCTAATAATGCCTGAACAAAGATGGTTCCATCCCTTTCGGAAAGCAACACAGTTGTAGGTATTGTCCAGGGGTGTAGGGGTATTGAGATATCGGTGACAGCATATTACAATAAAATATCTGCTGCTACATCCACTTTAAGCCGTGTTGCGGTTATGAAGGTATACATTGTAATCTCACCAGACTGCATGGCTCTGTGCTCCAAAGGGCATGAGGTCTACAGCTTCATAGTTATGATTTCCAAAGGCACTGGGGGAGTCCTCCGTAATAACGGAAAAGTCACTGCTCAGACTGGTGTTGCTGCCTCGATCCCGGGGTTCTGGAGGAGGAACAAACCACATCTCAGCTGAATACAGCCTAAAAATCTATGGCACAATGGTTTTATTTGAGAAGAGAACCCTCCTAAATAGGATGGAAGTCATCTTTAAATAATGAAACAATAGAAATCGTGCTGCAACCCCCAACTTCCCTCAATACATTAGCAGGATGAGTTAGAGAGACTCGTGCCCTGGTTCATGCCCTACTATACCATTGAAAAGTCCATGTAAAAGTGAGAAATCCGGCACCAAGACATCTCATGAATAAAAAGGTTAATCTGTTTATTTCATCCATCAAATTAAAAAAAGGAATCAATGCCTGTGAATATTGTTTCAGCCTCCTACATAGGCCTTAGTCCCAATCACAAAGCGATAAACCTTTTATCCTTGAGATGTCTTGGTGCCAGATTTTTCATTTTTTACAGCATTAAATAGTAAACTCCACTTTTGTTGGGAAGGTGAGGGAAAAAAAAAAAAAAAAAAAAAAAAAAAACACAAACCCATCGGGATGATCAGTGTACATTGCAGAGATTTTATCAAGTTTGTTTGCCAGTTCCTAGCAGTTTCAGCTCTGAATAAAAAGCGGTTTGTTGTGCCATGTCTTTTGGATACAGATTCTGAATAGAAGTGACTTTCATTAAAGGATAAGTTCACCTCTCTCAACATGTCACTCATATTTAGGGTGCAACATTCCGACCATCCACCACCTCACCCTCCAAATCTGCCACCTCCTTGTGACAGCAGGATGGGACCTTCTCCACACACCCGCCCAGAACAACTTAAAATCTAGTAATCCAGTGGATCACACCCTGCTCAGTTGCTCACTATTTTTAGGCACTGTGCCAAATTTGTAGAAGCCAATCTGCTGACAGCTTAAAGATTTACTGCTGCTCAGGACTCTGGTCTTCAGCAAAATAGCAGCCTCCAGCAAAATGAAACAGGAACAATGCTGAAGGCATTTTACAGCATGCACTAATTTTGGCAGCATAACTATTAAGGTAGAATGTATGTTTCTTGCAAAGGAATATTTTTTTTTTTTTATCAAGTTATGGGCAACATTTCACTTTAAAAAGGCCAATAAAGTATTATTAAAAGGAGGTGATATTCTTTGCACTGGATGGAAGTGCACTGCTTTTGTGGGTGGTTTTTAATAAAAAGATGTTTAGGACTATGCTGTTTGATTCTTCTAGAGCAGTGGTCGGCAAGCCGCGGCTCGCGAGCCACATGCGGCTCTTTACACGCTTTAATGCGGCTCTTGTGTGCCGGGCGCCCGCTCCCCTCCTCTCCTCCTCTCGGGCGGCAGGGACTCTGCAGCGTAATCCAAAAAAAAAAAAAAAAAAAAAAAAAAAAAAACAGCCAGGGCAGCGCGCTCAAATGCAATGATTTGGCCAGTCTCGCTGCCACTCACACATCCTGATAGCCAGTGATTGGCTGTCAGGATGTGTGTAGGCGGGGCAGCGTGACGAACGTGAGAGGAGCTAGGCTCCTCTCAGTCCGCCCTGAAGACCAGAACGGCGCGGGAACACGGCGAGAGGAACGCGCGGAGCAAAGGTAAGTGAATTGACACGGGGGGGACTTGGCTTACTACTTGCTACTACTATATGAGGGATGAATTACTATAGGGGGGGGGAGATGAATTACTATAGGGGGGGGAGATGAATTACTATAGGGGGGGGGGAGATGAATTACTATAGGGGGGAGATGAATTACTATAAAAACTTATTGAAACTAAAAACAGTGTACCATCCTATGTATTTTCAGTTTTAAAAATGTGGCTCTCAAAATAAAAATGTCAATCGTGGTTTTGGCGAGATTTGGCTCAGTTGAAAAAAAAAAAAAAAAAAAAAAAAGGTTGCCCACCACTGTTCTAGAGTGATTGTTGCTGAAGGGGAATGTCATTACCAGGAGGATTGAGGACAACCTTTTAGAAAATCTGGTGAATACCTGAAGGAAATACCATCCCTGGTGAAAGGGCAAGGGCGCATACTGACCTTATCTTTTGTGTAGGTCATATACATAGGTAAGTGGTTTGAGCAGATGCTGGTGGCATATACACAGTGGTGGACATTGAAAATACTCACAGAACTGAATGAAATGTTTTTGGCAGAATAATATTGAGCTTTATTATTGATAAACATGATTTCAATTATTTGCACCATTTTGGTATATTTGAGCAAACACTTTTTGGTGGTGTGATTTTTATTGATGGCACTAAATTAAAAAAAAATTTAATTATATAGATCTCTCTATTTTTTTTAAACACACACACACACAAACACACACACACACACACACACCACACACACACACACATATTAACACACATACACATTTGTTTTGGGTAAAAACAAAAAACCATGCTACCCAAACAAATGTGCAAATATTAAAAAATGATATTTTCACATTTGTTTGGGTAGCATGGGTTTTTTTTTTTTTTTTTTTTTTTTTTTAAAGAAAGTGCTGACAGCACCAACAATGCACAAAAAATAAACAAAACAGCTAAGAGCGTTTAGAGAAAGACTTTCAAAGTACATACTTAGCGCACAGAACTCTTCCAACATCGAACTAGGATCCCGGGGCTGCGAGCTTTTCCGCCTGCATCAAAGAAAACAAAATACAGAAGTTTTAGTCTAAATAAATATAAAATCAACTCAGAATTTTTTTGCGTAGAGCAAAAATGTGGTGTTTAAGTAGATGCATTTTCAGGAGTCACCAACTGTCTTCTGTTCTAAAACTAAACATTAGGACATATTAAGATGGTTGAACTTTGGAATGTTTGTACAAAATCTCCTTGTAGTAGCCCCCCCACCCACACTGCAAGAATTAAATGAAAGTTAAATTCAGGGGAAGAGGAATAAAAACGAATACTTCCCTTATTCCACGTTTTGGCTGGCTTCTACATGACCAATCCCTCAAAACCTCTTCTCTTTTGGCATTCTGGCCAGTGGTCGCAATCTGATGCCACCTTGCAGAATGCAGGACCAGCAGCCTCACACTGTGGATGGCAATGGCCTGCTCCGCTCACAACAAGGAGTATCAGCGAAGAGCACCGGAAGCCCTCTGCTGCAAGGTTTAAGGTCATTTTTACAGTTTATTCCTCTACCCTTGGACTTAGAAAAGAGAAAAAAAACAAAAAAAAAAAAAAAAAATTTTTTTTTTTTTTTTAACATAAAACCTCCAGCGTTCATCCTCAAGAGGGACACTCCAATAAATGGTGAACATTTAGCATAAGAATACACAGCCTATCTTCCCCAGCAATAGCTATAAGCCACACGACTATCTAAAATCCTTGCATTACCAATCTCCTGGTAGTCCGAGTACATCCAAATTCTGAGCCTCGGGATCTGGGATCTGCTGGCTAGATGTTCTGCCTGCAGTCCAACTAAACTATGCCATGAATTGCAGATGGCATTGCATGAATTGCAGATGGCATTTCTCACGGCAAGTGTCCTGATGGTGTCAACAGTGGACTAGGTCTGTAATGTATATGAATTTGAATAAACAGTAAACAGGCTGCGCAAAGAAGCTGCATGTGATTTTTTTTTTTTTTTGAAATGGCAAATAACTTTGGTTTATTTACATTTTTTTCTGAAATGTACAAAATATAATTCCTTCTCAAACAATTATAGCATATTTGCCTGCATGAAACTTTAGAAATTGAGAAAAATCAGTAACAGATAATCAATTTTCTCCAGCTGCAGGTTATGTAACTGCTTAAACAGATGACATATCCCTGAAAAGGGAGACATTCTTAGACTGTCAGGCTATTTAAAGAAAGCTGTGCCATCCCAGTGTATTATACAAGTTCCCAGCTTGCATATCTAGTTTGGAAATTGGACCGCTTCTTGCAGAGCCTCTGCACACACACCTCCGTAGGAGGCTGGTCCCAGGCTGGGAACCATTTCAGCAGAGAATAAATTAAACAAACTGGGTCAGGACACTGGGGGTTTGATGGCCTCCATCGATATCCCCAAGCCGGCTCCACTAACGAGGTCAGATGCTGCATTTTCTATACTGTGCTGGCGCAAGCTTACCGCGATTTCCTCCCCAACGAGGAGAACTCGTCCGAAGTGATGTGCTTCAGAAAATTGAAGCAGAAAAAGAAGATCTGGGTGAGAGAAATGGGAGCAATTACCAGATAAGCAGAAAAGGAATTTGGCTGCATACACTGTATATATTCCATAGAGATGTGAAAAGGTTTTGGATACCATCAATGTGCATATAGATTTAGATCTAAAATATTAGAAATTAAGTACTTTGTATTTTGACATTTATTTTTTGGATCAGCCCTAATACCCAAGTTATAATGCCAAGAGTGACAGAGTTCAGTGTATAAAAGTTGAAAGGGGAGCAGAAGAGAGCACGCAAGCAAGAAGATGGAGCAGAAAAGCGCGAGGGAGCAGAAGAGAGCGCGCAAGAAGAGAGCAGAAGAGAGCGCGCAAGTAGGGAGAGCAGAAGAGAGCGCGCAAGTAGGGAGAGCAGAGAGCAGAAGAGAGCGCGCAAGGAGAGAGAGTGCGCAAGTAAGGAGAGAGAGCAGAAGAGAGCGCGCAAGTAAGGAGAGAGAGCAGAAAGAGGGGAGTTCGCAAGTGAGCAAAAATATGGAGCACATGAGGGTACAAGAATAGGGAGCAGAAGAGGAAGCGCGCAAGCGAGTAAGAAAAAAAAAAAAAAAAAAAAAAAAAGGGAGCAGAAGAGTGAGTGTGTGACCAAGCAAGATGAGGGAGCAGAAGAGGGAGTTCGCAAGTGAGCAAAAATAGGGAGCGCGTGAGGGCACAAGAATAGGGAGCAGAAGGGGAAGCGCGCAAGGGAGCAAGAAAAGGGAGCAGAATAGGGAACATGTGAGCAAGCAAGAAGAGGGAGCAGAAGAGGGTGCATGCGAGCAAAATGGAGCAAAAAGAGGAGTGCGCAAGAGTGCAAGACTAGGGAGCAGAAGAGGAAGTGCACGAACGAGCAAAAGAGGAAGCAGAAGGATCACATGTGCAAGCAAGAAGAGGGAGAATAGACAGATGGAGCAACTAAGGAGGTAGAGTGTGGAGGAGAAAGTGCGAGTAATAAGGATTTTTTTTTCTTCACCTTTGCTAAGACGATCAGCCAACATATGCCTATAAAAAAAAAAAAAAAAAAAAGGGAAGAAGGTTATGTAATTGGTAATGGCTATTATCATTTCTGTACTTGCTTTAATAATAAATGCTTGCACAGCATATGACACAGCCACTTCAGTGAGCAAGTAACAGGTCACTTTACTGAAGTGTCATCAGAGAACCCATTCTAGGTTACAATATTAGTATGCTGAACTTCACCACGATCCTGTAAAAGTGTGCGTTAAACTTTTATGATCCTTTGAAATGAAGTTTTATGTCAAATATGGGAACGGTTTTAGATAAATATACTGCTCCATTAACAGCCATCCAGTGTAAGTTGTACTTTTTTTTTTATTCACAACTGCAATTCCAGATATGAAAAATTCAAGGCTATGACTTACCCAAAGAGGAACCAATCATAGGCTATAGTCAGGTAAAGAATCTCAGCAGGCTCCAGGGAGTTATGAACCATGCCATCCTGCAAGAGAAATATTACAATATTCATTCTTTAAACTCTGCTTGATGAGGTTGTGCCAGCTTGTAATTCCTGTGCAATTTCACAAGCACTTCAAACCTATTCATTTTGACTGGGCTCGACTCGCACTGCATCACACAAAGTAGTGTGTGCACTTTTGGAAATGCACTAACCGCATTGCGTGATAGTTTTAAACCATGTAATCCGGTGCAGGTAAACGCACTGTGTTTTGCAACCTGCATTTGAGGGGTCTTCAACATTGCACTGGAACCCACTGCAGATCACAAGGGCAGCGAGTTTTCATAGGGAGGGAAACGCGCACAGAGGGTGGGTTTGCCACACAACGTTCTAGTGTGAACCGGTGCCAATTGTCCTGCAATGACATACACAGATATCATCTGACTTCTACCAACCTTCATTTACCTCTGTAGTGAGTGGAGGTTACGGCACAACATGCGTCAGCGCAGTATCAGAGATGTGGATACAAACACAACTGTATATAAATTTGCATCCATCGGCACATTACCTACATTGCCAGTGGGATGGTCAGTACTCACTGTGAAGATGCTTAATGGAAGGTAAAAACACATAATGTAGCCTTAGGGTCTATTTGTATTGGCTTTTGGTTTGAGTAGATGGAATCCATTTGAGCCTCTTCTATTCTTTGACAGGTGCATCTAACCTGCAGCTCACCGCCTTACCTTTATTAGGTAGGTTTTGCATTCACATAGAATTGTATGACGCCGCAAACCCATTTAAAACAAAACAAAGAGGCCGGTCAACACCGGCCCCAACCCTGCTTAAAAAAAAAAAAAAAAAAAAAAAAAAAATTTAACACCTGCCAACCTGCACACAGTAATGTTACTGCAAGCAGGCAGCAAGTGCAGGCACTGTCACGTATGTTATGGGCCTGCTTCTGGCCAATTGCATGCCCACTGCTGATCTGTGCTGGGATTGGCCACAGCGCAAGTTGTTTAGCAGGTTACAGCCAATTATGTGCGTGTATACCAGCTGATCCACTGTGGTCAATCACCGAACAGAGTCCTATGCTTACGAACACACACAAACTCTACACAGAACAGCGATCTGGCTGATTCTTCTCCCTGAAAAGCCGAGAGCAAAAAAAAAAAGAAAAACAAAAACTGGTTAGGCTCACAGTTAACCACTTGATGTTAACCCCTTCCTAGCCAATTAGTACAGTATTATATCGGATAACCGTTTTACTAGCGACGTCAGTGTAAGTCAATTTTCCTCACATCCAGTGTCAGATTGCCACACTATTACAGTCTTGCTATAAGATGCCGATCACTGCCATCACTAGTATAGCATCATAGCTGTGTAAATTACAGTATTATACACACACCCCAAAGTTTTTAGATGCTATAACTGTTACAAAACCAAAACATATTTGTGTTTGTTTTTTTAAACCAAAAGACATGTAACAGAATACATTCTGGTCAAAATCTAAGAAAATTTGTTTTTTATTGGATAGGTTTTATAACAAAAGCAGACTCTCTCAAAATGTTCGGTATTTTTTCATTTATATAATAAATAAAAAACCAAGTGATGATCAATTACCACCAAATGGCAGTACTAGGGTCGTTGGTTCGAATCCCAGCCACGGCACCTCCTGCCTAGAGTTTGCATGTTCTCCCTGTGCCTGCGTGGGTTTCCTCCCGGTACTCCAGTTTCCTCCCACACTCCAAAGACATGCTGGTAGGTTAATTGGATCCTGTCTAAATTGGCCCTTGTATATGAATGCGAGTTAGGGACCTTAGATTGTACACCCCTTGAGGTTTAGGGACTGATGTGAATGTACAATATATATGTAAAGCGCTGCGTAAATTGACGGCGCTATACAAGTACCTGAAATAAATAAAAGAAAGCTCATTTTGTGTGAAAAAAGTGATTTAAAAATGTAATTTGGGCACAGTGTTGCATGGTCGAGCAATTGCCAATTAAAGTAGCACAGTGCTGAAAAAATGCCCTGATCATGAAGGGGGGAAAACCTTCCAGAGGTAAAAGTGGTTAATGATGGCACCTTTTATCCAAACTGTATCGGCCGATGCACTCTGCCTACCAGCCAGGCTTCTTGATCAATGAAAGCTGAAGAATGAAATCCCCCCCCCCATCCCCAAACATATCAACGTACTGCAGATTGAACATAATATGACCATCAAGCTGTCTTTAGCAAATAATCGCCACCATTACTTTATTCCACTCGCTAACACACAGCCTTTGATATATATATCAATGTGAAAATCGTGGATTTCTTTGCTTCTTTTACTAATTAGGTTAGCAAAGCTTAACCCATTTGCTGAAAGAGCACCTCGTGAAGGCATAAATTATGCAAAACCTGCCAACATAAAAGAATTTCTGCCATCGAAGTGCCAAGCTTCAGACAGCGGAATAAAACAAACAATTAGATCGTTTTATTAGAGTAGCGTGGCATGTAATAGCGCACTTTTCAGCTTAAGGTCAAATATTTATTGTTAAAGAATCCTCAGTCAGAATTCTCAATTAGATCGCTCCATATAATTTTTCCTAATATGAATATATGAATGAATGGCGAAAAGGTTACCTGTGAGAAATGGTTTCTTAAAAATTTTTCAAAAACACGCCTGCCATTAAGAAGAAAAATTGGACCTTGTTCTTTGAACTCAGCTTTTCAAAGGGTTTCCATTGTTTGATGAATTATTAAGCGAGGAGTTTTACAAGCACTTTCCTTGAGCAAAGACAGGAGGATAAAAAGAATAGAAATGCAAAGTGGAGAAAGAACAAAAAGTTTGAAGGTTTTCAAGAGTAGTTTGGTCAAGCCCGACTACTTTCTAGAAAATGCAGCGATTTTCTGCCTTTTGCAGGTATTGAATGCAGTGCACAAGAGCAAACCACTAAATGGCAGGCAGGGTGGATAAAAATCAATGATTTAAAAAAAAAAAAAAAAAAGATTTTTTTTATTTAAATAAAATGCTTTTTGGAGGAAAATATATTACCATCCAAAAGGTTATTCCATCATGAAATAAAAGATTAGTTTTTTTAATTATGTAGTATGTAAGGCTGTATGTGTTTAATTTTTTTGGTAAATAAATTCCATGAATCCATTCACAATGTCATGCTCTTCCAGAGGTTTTTGTAAGATGATTGGGCAGTTTCTCTGCCTACAAGATATTATCACAGATGCTCGGTTTACTTTTGCAGTTCTCAAAAAACTGATTTGACTCAGCGGAGATCACATGCCTCTTCTTCACAGCAAAAATGTTATAACATGAACAGAGTTAAGAAAAAGACCTTCATCCTAACTTCTACAAACCTATGAATACAGAATCAACCCCTTCAGTGCTAAGTTTTCAAGAAGTTCAGTGAATAGAAACAATATTTTTCTGATTGTTTGGAGTGGAATAGATCTGCACAAGAAGAAAGTGAAACTAATGCAGGCCATAGATGGGTCGAAAAATGAGGAGGAAGGAGGAGGAGGGAAGGGGAAGAAAGGAAGAAAGGAAGGAAGGAAGGGGAGGGAAGGAAGAAGAAAGGAGGGAAGGAAGGGGAGGGAAGGAAGAAAGGAGGGAGGAAGGGAGGGAAGGAAGAAAGGAGGGAAGGAAGGGGAGGAAGGAGGGAAGGAAGGGGAGGGAAGGAGGGAAGGAAGGGGAGGGAAGGGGAGAAAGGGGGGGAGGAAGGGGAGAAAGGGGGGAGGGAAGGGGGGAGAAAGGGGGGAGGGAAGGGGAGAAAGGGGGGAGGGAAGGGGAAGAAAGGGGGGAGGGAGGGGAGAGAGGAAGGAAGAAGACGAAGGAAGACGAAGGAAGACGAAGGAAGACGAAGGAAGACGAAGGAAGACGAAGGAAGACGAAGGAAGACGAAGGAAGACGAAAAAATAAGAGGAATTCCAGTACGGCAAAAAGTGTCCCTGCAGAGACCTCCGCCATTTCCCTTGACAGTTCCTTGACATTTACAGCGGTTGCAACATTGTATCTATTTGTTTCCGAATAAAAACATCTGTATCCGAAATGGATACAAATAGATACATTGTTGCAACCGCTATAAATGTCAAAGAAATAGCGGAGCTCTCTGCAGCGACACTTTTTGCCGGCTGTAGACGGGATGAAAATCGGCCGATTTTCGAACTGTCTATGGCCGGCATTAGTTTAATCTCCCTCTCCCAGTCAGAGCTTTTCTGTACGGGAACTGCAAGAAGCTGATACCAAGTCAAAGTCAAGTACTTGCACTGCTTGCATTAGAAAATATTAAATGAATACAGACCTGCATTCATTTTGTGAGATAATTATAATTATTATTAGTAGTACTTCCATATCGTCGTCAATTTACACAGCGCTTTACATATATTGTACATTCACATCAGTCCCTAACCCTCAAGGGTGTACAATCTAAGGTCCCTAACTCACATTCTGTCTAAATTGGCCCTAGTATGTGTATGTATGAATGTAATTAACCTACCAGCATGTCTTTGGAGTGTGCGAGGAAACCTGAGTACCCTGAGGAAACCCACGCAGGCACAGGGAGAACATGCAAACCGCAGGCAGGTGGTGCCGTGGTTGCGATTTGAACCAACGACCCTAGTACTGCCAGGTGGAAGTGCTAAACATTTAGACACTGAGTTTTAGATCTGCCTGAAATGTCAGCTTTAAAGAAGACCTTCAGCCAAATTTATTAAAATAAAAAATTGAACAGCCCATTAAAGAAATAATGGAACAGCCCATTAAAGAAATAATGGAACAGCCCATTAAAGAAATAATGGAACAGCCCATTAAAGAAATAATGGAACAGCCCATTAAAGAAATAATGGAACAGCCCATTAAAGAAATAATGGAACAGCCCATTAAAGAAATAATGGAACAGCCCATTAAAGAAATAATGGAACAGCCCATTAAAGAAATAATGGAACAGCCCATTAAAGAAATAATGGAACAGCCCATTAAAGAAATAATGGAACAGCCCATTAAAGAAATAATGGAACAGCCCATTAAAGAAATAATGGAACAGCCCATTAAAGAAATAATGGAACAGCCCATTAAAGAAATAATGGAACAGCCCATTAAAGAAATAATGGAACAGCCCATTAAAGAAATAATGGAACAGCCCATTAAAGAAATAATGGAACAGCCCATTAAAGAAATAATGGAACAGCCCATTAAAGAAATAATGGAACAGCCCATTAAAGAAATAATGGAACAGCCCATTAAAGAAATAATGGAACAGCCCATTAAAGAAATAATGGAACAGCCCATTAAAGAGGGAAAAAAAAAAAAAAAAGGCAAAGCCAGGTTTGCTGCATTGTTATCTTTAATTACAGAGATTTCCCCCACTATACTTTTTTCTGCCTCCAAATGTCCCCAGTCTGATGGCCAGAGCCATTCAACCCACTTCTTCTGAGTCATGCACAGCACCACACATGTATGGAGTGAACAAAGCACATAGAAAACAATAGTCTTCTAGTGTCCTATTAACTCCATGTGTGGTGATGTGCAGAGAGATGCAGCTCAGACATGGTGAATAAGCCCTGTTGCCTGTTGAACTTGCCTACAGGGCACTATTACCCCCTTCCTGTCCAGGCCAATTTTCAGTTTCCAGCGCTGTCGCACTTTGAATGACAATTGCGCAGTCATGCAACACTGTACCCATATGACATTTTTATCATTTTTTTCACACAACTAGAGCTCTCTTTTGGTGGTATTTACTTGCCACTGGGCGTTTTTTTGCGCAAAAAAAAAAAAAAAAAAAAAAAAAAAAAAAAAAAAAAAAAAAAAACTCTTTGCTTCTATTTTAAAGTTTTGCAAACAGGTAATTTTTCTCCTTCACTGATGTGCGTTGAGGCAGCACTGCTGGGTACTGACTGGCGGCACTGATCATCAGTGCTCTGATAATCATTGCCGATCTGTCCTCGGACAATTGCGGGTTATCCTCAGTACTTTCCTCATGCTGTGACAGCGTGAGGAAAGTGCAGCCGATAACGGCAACTGCATTTACCGGTGATCTGCTGTGTCATTGGACACAGCTGATCATGTGGTAAAAGGCCGCTGTGATTGGCCTTTTACCACATCACCTGATCAGCTGTGTCAGGTTTTGAAGACCCTGGGGTGGTCCAGAAGAGATAGAGATACATACATACATACATCTCCTTATGCAACATCACCTGTTGGCATTGAAATGTACTTACCGCCCACAGAGACAGCCTCAAGAGGGAAACAAACAGCGGCGTACGATCCCACCCAGAGATACAGTGCACCAACAACCCGCTGCTATCTATGGAGAAAATGAAAGGACAAAACTAATTGCAGCAAGATTTAAATCTTGTGCAGGAAAAAAAAACCATATAAAAACACTTAAAAAAAAAAAAAAAAAAAAAAACTTAACTGCTAGAAATGCAGCCCAATTAGGAAATCAAACTCATGGTGTACTTGCACTGCCTTGAAAAAGTATTCATACACCTTGAAATTTTCCACATTCTGTCGTGTTACAACCAAAAACGTAAATCTATATTATTTGGATTTTATGTGATAGCCCAACACAAAGAGGCACATAATTGTGAAAAGGAAGGAAAATTATAAAACGGTTTTGAAATGTTTTCTTTACAAATATATATCTGAAAAAAAAAAAAGAAAAAAGAAATAAATAAAAAAAAAAAAAAAGGACAGAACCTCGAGGGACCCTTACAGAAAGAGGAAGTGGAGAGGAGGAGACCAAGTTATAGGTAACGCTAAAGGAGTGCTGCAATAGGTAGGAGGAGAACCAGGAGAGTCGGAGGCCAAGAGTGGAGTTTAAGGAGGAGGGGACGGTCAACAGTATCAAAAGCCGCAGATATGTCAAGTAGTAAGTATGGCGTAGTAAGTATGGCGTAGTAAGTAAGTGGCGTAGTAAGTATGGCGTAGTAAGTATGGCGTAGTAAGTATGGCGTAGTAAGTATGGCGTAGTAAGTATGGCGTAGTAAGTATGGCGTAGTAAGTATGGCGTAGTGTCCATTGGTTTTAGCGGTTAAGAAATTTTAGTAGGGCAGTTTCGGTGAAGTGTAGTGAGCGAAAGCCAGACTGTAAAGGGTGAAGAAGGTTGTTGTCAGTGGGGTAGGAGCTCAGGAGATTGTAGGCTAGGCGTTCTAGGAGTTTAGAGGTAAACGGGAGCAGGGAGATGGGTCTTAAAAAGCCCTCACTTGACCCCACCAACATGAACAAGTATGGGAGTGATCTGTGCGTGCTTTAGAGGGGAGGGGGAAGGTGCCAGTAGAGAGGGAGAGATTGAAGATGTGAGTGAGCAGAGGATAGAAGAGGGTGACCGTAGTAGTTGTGAGGGGACAGGATCCAGGGGGCAGGTGGTGAGACGGGCTTCTGAGAAGACTTTAGTGACCTCTTCAGTAGAAGCAATGTCAAAAGCAGAAAGTGTTGAGGGAGGTTTCGTATAAGGTATGCCAAGTAGGATGGATGTCTGTGCAGTGGAGATGCCCCCACGAATTGAATCAATCTTGTTTTTGAAATGATAGGCAATCTCGTAAGCAGTGAGTTACTGGGAGGTGGAGAAAGTAGAGAATTAAGAGACGAGGACTGGATGACAAGGTATTAAGAGTGATAAAGTAGGCTTGTTTGGCAGCATGGAGGGAGGAATTGTATTTTAAGAAAGCAGATTTATATAGGGTGAATGCTTGCTGGGATTTGGTTTTACGCCACAAAATCGCTAATATGCCAATCACAATGCAATTGCCATGTGATCTAAACATATCTTCACAGGCATAAACAGTAGACCTTGAACACAAATCATGAAGAACTTTATTATAGGGAACATTTAGGAGGTGTTCGTTGTGCCTATGGAGTACCAAAAAGTATCTTTTTGCCTGAAATTCCACCTGAATAATAACAGTGCTTGTCCTGGTATGCTTCATAGCTGTACATCTGCACTATGAGATCTAAAGCACTACTGCCTCTGATTACTAGTCTCATGAGATTTGGTGATGTTACTACTGTGCACCTTTTTCTTGCTGGAGGCTCCAACATGAGCCCTGCGTGTCACAAGGCATGGTAGCCCATTCAAATAAATGGACTCTCGTGCCCGCGCAAACCTCATCCTGCACAGCCGTGTAGATGCAACCCAGCCTTAGACTTCTAGGATGAGAAATTTTCAGACAAAGCCGTAGGTGTGGAGCTCTTATTTTCTCATATTCTACCTGAAAACACATCAAAGGCCTTTTCACAAGCTGCCTATCTGGAGGAGTCATAGTATGAAATAAGACCTTATGAGGCACACTTCATTTGGAAGTAACCCTTGATCCAGCAACTTCTACCCACAAGCATAGAAGTTCTCACACTTTTGTAAGTTTGCCCACTCACAAAGAAATGAAGGGTCTATAATTTTTAACATTGTATTTTAAATGATAGAGACAGAATATCAACCAAAAATCCTGGAGAAAAAAAAAAAAAACAAAAAAAACCCACGATACAAATATTATAAATTGAGTTACAGTTCAGTGAATAAAACAAGTATTTGATCCCCAAGCAATACATGACTTTGTACTTGGTGGAGAAACCCTTGTGGGCAAGCACGGAGGCAAGACATTTCTTGTAGTTGCTAGCAGGTTTGCACACATCTCAGGAGGGATTTTGGTCCACTCTTTTTAGATCTTCTCTAAATCCTTCAGGCTTCTTGGCTGTCGCTTGGCAACTCGAAGTTTCAGCTCCCTCCATAAATTTTCTATAGGATTAAGGTCTGAGACTGACATGGTCATGACCTTAATGTGCTTCTTGAGCCACTCGTTTGTTGCCTTGGCGGTATGTTTTAGGTCATTGTCATGCTGAAGACTCATCAGTGTTCTGGCTGAGGGAAGAAGGTTCTCATCCAAGATTTTACAATACATGGCCCTGTCCATTGGCCCCTAAATGTGGTAAAGTCAGCCTGTACCTTTAGCAGAGAAACCATCCCAAAGCATAATGTTTCCACCTCCATGCTTGACTGTAGGGATGGTGCTCTTAGGGTCATAGTCGGCATTTTTCTTCCTCCAAACACAGCAAGTCCAGTTAATTCCAAAGAGTTAAATTTTGGTCTCATCTGACCAAAGCACTTTCTCCCAATCGTTCTCTGAATCATTTAGATGTTCATTGGAAAACTTCAGACAGGCCTGTACATGTGCCTTCTTGAGGGGGACCTTGCAGGCACTGCAGGGTTTCAATCCATGATGGCATATTGTGTTACCAATGGTTTGTTTAGTGACTGGTCCCAACTGCCTTGAGATCATTCACAAGCTCCTCCTGTGTAGTTCTGGGCTAATCCCTCACTTTTCTCATAATCATCCTTACCCCATGAAGCAAAATCTTGCATGGAGCTCCAGACTGAAGGCGATTGATGTTTTTTTAATTTCTCCATTTGCAAATAAACTCCAACACTTGTCTCCTTCTCACCAAGCTTGTTGCTGGTGGTCTTGTAGCCCATTCCAGCCTTGTGCAGGTCTACAATCTTGTCCCTGATGTCTTGACAGCTCTTTAGTCTTGCCCATGGCAGTACCCAAGAAAGTTTCTGTGGACAGGTGTCTTTTATACACGTAACAAGCGGTCGTTAGGAGCACCTTCTTAAAATTGACAGGACTAATCTGTGTACCACATGAGCACATAGCCATCCTGTGGGAACCTGAATTGTTGGTTGGCAGGGGATCAAATAATTTTACTCACTAAACTGCAACTCAATTTAGAACATTTGTAAGTGGGCAAACAATTAATCTTCACCAGTGTACATGCACGTTATAGATCGAGGCTCCACTAGAACTGCTAAAACCAAGTACATATGGCCAGAGATACTTCCATAAATGAGTCAACTTATTGTAGTCAAGACACAAAATTTGCTGAAACTATAATAAAGTGTGCACGGTGCTTACCATCGCCATTGATTATATGAATAAGAAGCCTCAGATAGTTCTGGGTCTGCTTCACCAAGTCCCAACTCTACAACAGAAATCAGCCAAAATAATGTAACATCCAAAAAGGACAGTAAAGTATATATGATCTTTAGTCTGGAGACTGTACATACACACAGTATTTACACAAAAATTGTAAAATCCTAGGTTAGTGTGTGCACACGCATGTACAATACTGCTGTAATGTAGGCATCAGTGTTAGCAAGAATGGATAAGGTTAGTTGGGGGTATATAGCGAAAATTGACATTTATTCCAAGATACGACCGTTCCTAACCTCGGAAACCACTAAGCAACTCATTCACTCCCTTATTATAGCACGCCTTGACTACTGTAACTCCCTCCTCACTGGCCTACCTCATCGCAGGCTATCCCCACTCCAGTCCATCATGAATGCTGCTGCCAGACTCATCCACCTTACTAACCGTTCTGTATCTGCCACCCCTCTCTGCCATTCCCTCCACTGGCACCCAATTGCCCAGCGGATAAAATTCAAAACAGTAACACTGACTTATAAAGCCGTTCATAACACTGCCCCCAACTACATCACCGACCTTATCACTAAATACCACCCAAACCGTACTCTCCACTCCTCGCAAGACCTCCTAAAAACTCTAGCTCCCTTGTCTCCTCCTCCCATGCTCGTCTCCAGAATTTCTCACGGGCTTCACCCATCCTCTGGAACTCCCTACCCCAAGCTATCACCTACTCTGCTCACTTTTAGGCGCACTCTGAAAACTCATCTCTTCAGGGAAGCCTAACCCGACCCCGGCTAACTACGGGAATCCCCTACTCCCCCCAACCACTCCATCCCCCACAGCTAATTACCTCTTGTACCACTATCCCCTTCCTCCTAGATTGTAAGCTCCAAGGAGCAGGGCCCTCTAATCCCTCTTGTATTGTTACTGTACTGTCTCCCTCTATAATGTATATATGTATAATATGTGTAATATGTAAAGTGCTGAGCAAACTGCGGTGCTATACAAGTATAATAACAATCATTTATTCAGATTTGTTATAGTGGCCATAATTATTCGTTGAGGGAAAAAAAAAAAAAAAAAAAACACAAAACAAAAAAAAAAAAAAAAAAAAAGTAGCAATGCCTGCTATATTTTAGTCTCTGCAGGTTCCCATTACAGTGTCATTTTCAATAATAAAAGCTCTTAAGAGAATTCTAAAGCTCAGCTGATTATTATTAAAACCTCAGAAGGACACATGTGCCGATTAGAGTCCTTCACCTAAAATGTTTAGATTTGTGATGGGGAAAACACACACACACACACACACACACACACACACACACACACACACACACACACACACACACACACACACACACACACACACACACCACCAAAATTCAGGGCATAAGAATTGTACACAGCAACCCTGAATGATCCTATGAAATATGAAAATGCAATGCTCTCTGCTGCTTGATCTCTCCAAATAAAAGCCGTGCTTCCCTGCAGCCTGCCTGCTGGGCTCTGTCCTAATTCTAACTGGCAGAAGGAGTCCCAAGTTCTGGGTGTGTCAGGACTACGCACAGCACTACAATCGCAGCCCTTTAACCAACTATCTAGAAAGGTAAAGCCCTTCTCAGACAACTGGGAGCTGCTGAATGGAGGCCTGCCTTAAAGGTGAACTCAGGGCATTTTTTTCTGGATAGGAGGATGGTTAGAACTACTATCATGTTTTTTTTATTACCGCTGGTGTCACTGGGGAGATTTCTCCTCACAATGTATTCCCTTGGCATTGGTACAGAAAGGGAGGACAAATCTCTAAAATAAGGACAAAGAGCCCTCTTTTATTACTACTATCTATGCCCCCTTTGGACAGATTTCTACTTAAAGCCCAACTCCAGACAAAAATGTGCCTGCACTGCATGGGTTAACTGCTCATTTTGTCCAGGGGGCATACAGAAAGCTAATACTCACCCGCTCCTCCGCTCCAGCAATAAACACTCCCCCCACAATCCAGCGGTGGGCTGTTCCTGACATCCTCATGTCCAGAGAAGGTCTATTGGCGTCATGACGTCAGTAACAGTACACTGCAGAAGACCACTAGGGGGCAGGAGCCCTTGTGTTGGGAGGATCGGAGGATTAGGCAAATATATCTTCTCCAACCCCCTAGACCAGGGGTGGGCAACTGTGGCCCTCCAGCTGTTGTAGAACTACAAGTCCGATGAGACATTGCAAAACTGACAGTTACAAGCATGACTCCCAAAGGCAGAGGCATGATGGGACTTGTAGTTCACCAACAGCTGGAGGGCCACAGTTGCCCACCCCTGCCCTAGACAAAAATGAACAGTTATTCCTTGCAGTGTGGGCACAGCCCCACTGCAAGAGAACTTTTTTTTTTTTTGACTGGAGTTGGGCTTCAACTAAGATTCCAGAGACGGCATCCGCCAGTACAGGAAATTAGTGTAAATCTATTCAAAGAGGCACAGACAGCAACACAAACAGTACCTTAGTGGTTAGCACGCTTGTCTTCCTGCATTAGAATTCTTGGTTCAATTCTTAACCAGGACACCATATGCATGGAGTTTGCATGTTCTCCTTGTGCTTGAGTGGGTTACCTCCAGGTACTCTGGTTTCCTCCCACACATCAATGACATGCTGGTACATTAATTGGCCCTAATAAGTATGTATGCAAGGTAGGAACTTGTCAGAAGTGATTCATGCTGATAGAGGAAGGAAGCTGCAGACAGAAATGACACTTAGTGCTCTTAATTGAGACAAGTACACACTATAGGGGGGATATGCTTTGTTCATATTTCATGTCTGAGGTTTACAACCACTAAATCTGCCAGAAGTTCTACTTTACGAAAGAGCGCGGACTACTCACGCCACCATTTTACCATGATTTCTATTTTGCATCTCTACTGCTGAAAAGATGTTAAAGTTGTAGTTTTGTTGCTATGGGCTACTCACGCACAGAAAGCACAAAGTCTAATGATTGCTAAGTGCCATCTGACAGCAGAACATGAAAGAGGCAGGCGGTACGGCAATGCACACGGTATGTGCTGATTGAGAGGGTTAAGAAAAATACAAGAGCAGACGCTCCCGGGAGGCCAAGTGAGCCACCTGTGAAATGAGCCTCAATTAGGCTTGTCGCAGCAAAACCCATTAATTTAACCTGCCTGCAGCGCTACCTGCAGTGTGCTGACCCATTTTCCCAAGCTTGTCACATGCAGAGTCCCGCGTTCTGGAATATCCCAGAGGCTGCACGAGAGGAGGAAACCTGTCCAATCCGGACACAAAGCTTTATTTAAGGAGACCGACCCCCGACTGTGCCTTCCTTCATCCCTTTGTCTGCGGAGACACAGCACAGCCAAGCCTCCGGGGAAAATAAAAGGGCAACCGACAGCGCAGACAGAGTCTGGGAGGAGAGAGAGAAGTGCAAGGACCTGTCAAAGCGCGTACGCCGTGTGTTCTGATTTTTTTTTAATTTTTCTTTTTTTTTTTCTTTATTGCACAGCAGTTTGTACAAAATGGCTGGGAGTTTTTCAATAACCACTTGTTTACCTGGTATTCCCTCCAATCAATATTTAAGTTCCTCGTCAAGCAGGGAGAAATATTCAAAGGAGCATCTACATAATCCTGGAAAACAAGACAGAAAACAAGACAGGTCAACAGTAATACAAGCCACTTATCAGCCAGATTGTTACCAATGAACAAAAAATGTGACTGCTTGCAGCTTACCTATCCTTAGGCTAGGGTCACACCTATGTAGTTTGCGTTTGAGCCGTTTATGTATTGCGTTTTTGTACCTGCATTTTTCAGGAGTTTTTTTTTCTTGTTGCTAGGCAGATTTAAAAATGCAAAAAATGCATCCAAAAATGCACTATACTTTTCTGCAGCGTTTCCATTGAAGTCTATAGAAGCAAAAATGCAACTTTTTGCATTCAAAAAAAAAAAAAAAAAAAAAAAAAAAAAAGTCTGACCCTTTCCAAAAAAACCGCACCAGTTGAAAACAGATGTGTCCCATAGGAAATCATGTTAAATAGACTCTACTGCATTTCTGCAAAATGCTGAGGTGTGAACCTAGGGTTAGGGCTCATGCACACAGGCATTTTTTTGCCAACATAAAGTTAATTGTGGGCATATTGCCTTGCCCGGGAGTCATGGCTACTGTGTACAGCAGTCCATAGTAATGAATGGCTGTATGCGGTATACCCCAGTAATGGCATAAACCTGCACATGCATAAAGCCATATGCCCCTGGAGACAGTACAGGATTATGCAAGTACTAGCATATACTTGTGCACAGCCAATCACTGCCATCGGCTTCTGTACACAGCAGCTGTCTCCCAGAGGAAAGGAAATCTAGCCTTGAGCCTTATTCACACTGGCATACTACAGCATACACCCATGCAAGGGCTTGTGCACACAGTGATGCATAGGTATTCAGTGAATCCCTGTGCAGGAAGTCCCACTCGTGCCCATTAGGATGCAGCAGCTAAAAGGACACAAACATTGAACCCAACTTAACAGCAGTGGTACACAGTCTGCATTTGGGGCCATGCATCCACACCTGCATGGCTGTTAAACTGGGAGCAGCAGCTGTCTCTGTGCAGCCGCTGCATCCCAGTTGACATGAATGGGATTGCCTGCACAAATATGCAAGCACACCTATGCATCCCCATGCAGGCAAGCACGGCCCTCAAATGGGTGTAAGCTGTAGTAACCTGTGGCTTTGTATACTAAAAAGGCAGGACTGATCCACCTGCTGGCTTGTATACCATTTTTGGCCAATTTAAGGCATATTGTCAATGCACCCCTGAAGAAGGCTGAAGGCACCCTGGTTGAAAAATGCTGTCCTAATGTAATATAGTGTAATTGAGTCAGTTTTCTTAATCTGAAACTTTCATTATACACTGCTCAAAAAAAATTAAAGGGAAAAAAACTTTGAAAAACACATCAGATGTCAGTGGGGAAAAATATCATGCTGGATATCTATACTGACATGGACTGGGTCATGTGTTCGGAATGTAAAGATGCCCCATTGTTTGATGGAAATGAAACCCACTCCTCCGCTCCAATGAGGAATGAATTCAAAGTCACTCCAAAAATCAAAGTGAAAAAATGATGCAGCAGGCTAGTCCATTTTGCTGAAATTTCATTGCAGCAACTCAAAAATGGTCCTCAGTTTGTATGGCCCCCATGTGCTTGTATGTATGCCTGACAATGTTGGGGCATGCTCTGAATGAGATGGATGGTGTCCTGGGGGATTTCCTCCCAGATCTGGACCAGGGCATCACTGAGTTCCTGGACAGTCTGAGGTGCAACCTAGCGGTGTTGGATGGACTGAAACATGTGGTTATCCCAGAGGGGTTCTATTGGATTTAGGTCAGGCGAGCGTGGGGGCATTCAATGGTATCAATTCCTTCATCCTCCAGGAACTGCCTGCATACTCTCACCACATGAGGCCGGGCAATGTCGTGCACCGGGAGGAACCCAGGACCCACCGCACCAGCGTAGGGTCTGACAATGGGTCCAAGGATTTCATCCCAATACAGAGTGACATTCAGGGTGCCATTGTCTAGCCTGTACAGGTCTGTGTGTCCCTCCATGGATATGCCTCCCCAGACCATCACTGACCCACCACCAAAACAGTCATGCTGAACGAAGTTACATGCAGCATAACATTCTCCACGGCTTCTCCAGACCCTTTCATGTCTGTCACATGTGCTCAGGGTGAACCTGCTCTCATCTATGAAAAGCACAGGGTGCCAATGGTGGACCTGCCAATTCTAGTGTGCAATGGAAAATACCAATCAAGCTCTATGGTGCCGGGCAGTGAGCACAGGGCCCACTAGAGGACGTTGGGCCCTCAGACCACCCTCATGAAGTCTGTTTCTGATTGTTTGGTCAGAGATATTTACACCAGTGGCCTGCTGGAGGTCATTTTGTAGGGCTCTGGCAGTGCTCCTCCTGTTCCCCTTCCACAAAGTAGCAAATACCAGTCCTGCTGATGGGTTAAGGACCTACTACGACCCTGTCCAGCTCTCCTAGAGTAACTGCCTGTCTCCTGGAATCTCCTCCATACTCTCGAGATTGTGCTGGGAGACATAGCAAACCTTCAGGCAATGACACGTATCGATGTGCCATCCTGGAGAGTTGGTCTAGGTATTGCCTCATGGTACCAGTAGTGACACTGACCCTAGCCAAATGCAAAACTAGTGAAACCAGAAAAGAGGAGTAGGGGGGGAAAAAAAAAAAAAAAAAAAAAAAAAAAAAAAAAAAAGGTCAGTGGCCTCCACCTGTAAAACCATTCCTGTTTTGGGGGTCGTCTCATTGTTGCCCATCTAGTGCACCTGTTAATTTCATTAACACCAATTGCAATTGAAAATGATTAACAACCCCCTCTGCTACTTAACTGACCAGATCAATACCCCAGGAGTTTAACTGACTTGATGCTATACTCCGATTAAAAAAAGTGTTCCTTTAATTTTTTTTTTTTGAACAGTGTAATATTTGACATTGCTGCCACGAAGGCACTTTGTGTTTTAGGGCAACACTGTTTTGTTTCCATCTCCCAAGGTTCAGATGGAGAGTACAAGTATCCAATTTATGCATCCATGCACAGGCAAGCTCCATTGTCATCATAATCAGGAAAATGTGCAGAAAGTGGCTGCAAGAAATCAACAGCTCAGGGCTGCAAAAAAAAAAAAATGAGCTGAGAACACAAGTATTTCTTTTTTCCATTACACTAACAAACTATGATGATGGTTCACATTTAAATCAGGTGTTGGTAATAGAATGAATAAATCCTTGCTAGTTCAGCCAGGTTTTGAATCATATTCAGCATATACAAGACCTACCTGCTTCCAGTTAAAAACCAGGCCTTCTGCAGCATAGTCCCGGTCTTTGTAATCTTTAAAAAATTCACAGCCTGAAAATAACAGAAAGAGCAACCAATGAAACATCAGTGTCTAACATGCAATAAAGGCAACCACTTAACCACTTCCCGACCGGCCGTTGCACATAAAACGGCCGGACGGTGGCAGTGCAGGGTCGGGTGGCGTTTATAAACTGCCTCCCCGCACCCTGCTTGTGTGCGCTCCCTGGGAGCGCGCAGCACAATGATCCGGTGCCCACTGGGTCCTCCGGACACAGTGAAACACCGTCGGACGGGACCTCTGTACGAGGGTCCCGATCATGTGATCACTGATTGGCCAATCAGTGATCACATGCAAAGTAGTAAGCAAGATGTCACTTGTGACATTTGCTTACTACGTGTGAAATCTGTGAATGATCACAGAGGTCACATGGTACAAGCCTATTCACAACAGCCTTGTACCATGTGACAAGCTGTGACCAATCACAGCTCACTCAGTACTTCTCAATGACTGCAAGAATGCAGACAGAGAGAGCAAGAAATGATTGCTTTTACATCCTATAAAGCAAAAATTTTCATCACCCCCCACAAGTAGTACAGTGTCACCATGGTGACACTGTACTGCTAGGGTGACCGTATGTAAAAAAAAAAAAAAAAAAAAAAAAAAAAAAAACAACAAATTTATAAAAAAATAATAAAAATGTAAAAAAAAAAAAAAAGTTTAAAAATTATAATTTTTGGTTATAAACTAATTTGGATTTTTTTTTTCTACTAAAAAAGATAATGGAATACATTTTGGCAAAGATTTATGATGAAATATTTGCAAAAAAAAAAAAAAAAAAAAAAAAACCTTCTTTCAAAATTTTTGGACTTTCATTTACGTAGCAAAAAAAATAAAAATCCCAGTGGTGAATAAATACCACCAAAATAAAGCTTTATCCGTCTCAAAAAAATGGTAAAAAATTAATTTGGGTACAGTGTTGCATGACCGCGCAATTGTCATTCAAAGTGTGATAGCGTTGAAAGCTGAAAAGTGCCCTGGTCAGGAAGGGGGTAAAAGTGTCCGGTCTGGAAGTGGTTAAAGATTTCAAGTCAGACTGACCACTGCCAACCCGATTGTCACCAGAAGACAAAGCACATATACACACACGCTACAAGTCATCATATACAGATCCATAAAATGACAGCTGGACAAGATTTGCCTACACAGCAAACCCTCTGGCCACTTAATTTAGCCTCTATGCAGCCCTGTGTTTTAGGTGCAGTGGGTGTTTATGGAAGTTTTGTATTGCTGGAATTATCACCCCCCCCCCCCCCAAAAAAAAAAAAAAAAAAAAAAAAAAAAAAAAATAGTATAGGTGTGAATAGAGACTTTCTACTCCTGCATCTACATCTGCCCAAAAAAGGAGGAAAACAAAATATATTTTGTACGAGAGTTTTGCTATTCATTTTATACACATGCGTATTCAATACGCCTGCATAGTTAAAGCCCATCTCCAGGAAAATGTAAAATGATCCCTTGCAGTGGGGCTGCAGCCACTGAGATTGTTTTGTCTAGGGAAGAGATGAAACCATTTTAACTTACTGGATCCTCTGCTCCCCTGGCAGATGGTGCTCCCCCACACTCCAACAGTGGACTGTCCCTCGGCTTCAACACGTCAAAAAGCTATGGACCCTGCACTGGACTTGATATCAGCACCCTAGAGGACTGGAGTGGAGGGAGAAGATGCTGCACAGACTGGTCTGGTAGTGGGGAGGAGCAGAGGATTGGGCAAATCAATATTTCAATTGTTCCATTAGACTTGAACTTGAAATTGGTTTAGTTGCCTGGAGTTGGGCTTTAAAGCGATCCTAAAAACTCCACTTTGAAAGCTGAACCTACAGGCAAGTCTATAAGGCTTACCTGTAGGTACAGTGAATATCTCCTAATATAAGTACAGTGTTTTGGAGATATTCACACTGGATGCAGCCAGTGATGTCACCGGCGCATTTCGCTCTGAAGGGACAATGTACCCGTGCTGAAACCATGACACCAGTGTGCATGCATGGAAGTGAAGTTGTTGCAGCTCGGCCAAAAGGACCAGAGCAATTGAAACTGGAAAGAAGACCGGGGGAAGATGGAAGCCCTATCAGCAGTGACAAAGCACCACTGGGGGGCTTTGTTCTAAGGCAAGCATTTCATAATGTGCTAGTTTGTGATGCATGCTAGAACATTATGCCATTGTCTTGCAGTTTTTGTTTTTAAAAAGTAGCAGCTTAGTACAGTTTTAAAGAACCCCCTACTCCCAAAACAAACAACAAAACTAGAATTAAACAAATTCAAATTCTGTACCTGGATATGGGATAGACAGAAGAGTGAAGTCTGCATAACGTTGAGCTTTATCCACTTTTTCGGAGGAGGTGACACTAGAGATTAAAAAAAAAAAAAAAAAAATCCAGAAGAAGTTTCGTGGCGGGGGGGGGTTGCGTTGTTTCAACTTTGAATGTTCATGATCAAGTTCTTGTTTATTACAGAAAAAAATAATAATAATCACAACGGCCTCTGTTGAGGTTTTGCAGTCCAAACAAGGTTTAGGAGACTGCAAAACCTGCTCGAGGCAGTTCACATGCAGGCCAGAAAGTCAAATGCACCTGTTAATGAATCCCGGTGGGTTTCAGAAGCGTGTCAAACTGATGCCAATAGGGCAGGGGTCTCCAAACTTTCTAAAGAAAAGAGCCAATTAACTGTCCTTCAGACTTCAAGGGGGCTGACTGTGCCCAGTGTGAGTAAACAATGCCCTATCAGGGGAAGAAATAGTTTGTGTCAGTTGCAAGAATAGTGCCCAATTGTTGATGTCAGTGGAAGGAATTATGTCCCATCTTTGGTGTCAGAGGCAGGCATAGTGCCCCAAGGGCCAGATGAAGGCAAGCAAAGGGCCCCAGTATGGAGACCATTGCCATAAACAAATCTTTCGCCCATAGACAGCAGCAGTAGTTCTCCAAGCACACCTCACCAAGGAATCTAATCAACCACCAGAAGGACATTACCCCCCCCCCCCCACTGTAATGAGCTTGCCAAGTCTCATGAACCAGCAGAACCTGTCCCAATTGTGACCAGAAAGGCCCAGATTTGATGTCCATAAGTGCTATCATTCTCGAACAGTCAATTACTCAATCCCCCAGTGCAATAGCCCCTTGCATGTTTGATGCCCCTATGTTCTGCTGCAGCCATCAGTGTGAAGCTGATCAAGTCTCCAGGCTCCTGTGAAAAGTAGGTTTCCTCTAGGCTGCATTATGCAAGGGGCCTGACTAAAATGCAAAGGAAGGAGAAGCAGCCACGGAGGAGATTATAGCAAATCTTCCAACAAGCCCCATTAACCTGCAAGACTGAATTTTCAATATATGAGGGGCATTCAAGTCAAACTGGGACTTGTGTTTATATTATTAAAATGAACAAATTTCAAAAAGGCGTGGAAACTGCATTTAGGTTTCGAAATACTCCCCTGCTACATTTATATACATTCATCTCAGCGTTTAACTGATGCCTGGAAAGTTGTCATGGAAAGATTTGTCAGTGCGCCTGAACAGTCCTAGGACAGCCTGCTTCACTTCATCATCAATGTGTTCACCGTTCCCGCAGAAAGATTGGTCTCTTGTGCAATTTCACAACAGGTTATAAGCCGATTATCCAGGATCAGGCGTTCCACATGCTGAATGTTCACAGGAATGACTGCTATGGGCTGTGAACCATCACGGCTGGGATAGTCACTGATGGACACGTGGCCATGTTTGAAACGTTTACACCATTCAAATGTCCTACTGCAGCCGAGTTTCATATCACCGTACTGTGCTTGAGGTATTCTGTAGATATCCGTTGGTTTTAATTCTTCGTTCACAAGAAACGTCATCACCACACGCTGTTCCATGCACGCACTAAAACTGCTGTCTACTATACTGATGAGCGGTCTCTGGACTGGCCCGCGACATATGCGCTGCCTATCAGTAATACTACTGTGTGTAGTACCAGAACACTAGCATCCCTTTTTATACCTGTAAAATGAAAAGTCCCAGTTTGCATATGAAGTTATACAAGGCGAGTTAGTCAGAGTGTGGTGACTGGTGCACTTTAACGTCACATTTGTTGAACCACCTATAAAACTATATTCATTTACCATAGGAAACCCCTAGAGTCATATATTGGAAGTTATCTGGCCATTTTCTCATTACAAAATTTGTTTTTTTAAAAAGGAAAGTATGGCAAAGCCAAACCGGTCTTATTTTTTATTTTGGAAGGAGTGTGGAAAGGTTAGAATCTTCAGTATTATTGCCTGTCAGATTTGCCTGATGATTGAGGATTTGTCCTGATGGCCAAGAATTGAAAATTAGGGAAAATCCACAACGGTTCTGGTGACATTTATCTAAGGCTAGGTTCACATTAGTGCAGTAATGTGTGTAAATCGCATGCATTCCCACAAACCATGCTGCTTGAAAGAAAAACAAACAAAAACCCAACCCCAACCAACCCCAACAAACACACACCCCCCCCCCACAACCCAACGCTACACACACAGAAGTAGCATCAACTCTTAGTAGCACCCCCACGCACTGAGAAATGCAGTGCAGTTAACCACATGCATAATCAGCACCATGCATTTTTCGTGTCTGAAAAGGTGCAGGAGAATGCAGGCAAAGCAGTCCATTCAAATAAATGGATTGCTGTTCATGCACAAAATGCACCAATGTCAACCTAAACAAAAATAACACAAATTTTGGCTTTTTTGTTTAATAAACTAAGGTGAAGGTCATATAATTCTTGCTCAAACTTTAAGCAATTTAGCAGAAAACTTACTTTAATCCAAACTTCACTTTCTTATTCTCCACCATCAAGTCGCAGATATATCGCACGGAGAGGTATTTTAACAATTTGATGTCATGACCCCCCACCTTGTCAAACTGTGAATCCCCGTTTCTGAACATGCAACGAGAAGAAAGGTTGACAGCTGCATATAGTAAATTTTATCATGATGCTCCTTTTTTATTTCCAGAATATAAAATATTTGGCTATGATTTATGTACTCTTAAATACAGCGAGGACTAGTGTGCTCTGAAATTTGAGATCACCAAGTCCAAAATGGAGGCATTTGTAACAGGGGTTCAAAATGAATAAAAATGTTCAAAAGAAGGGCATTACATTGTGCAAGTTGGTACTTCCCAGCTTACCTGGCCGCCGCAGCATCATCATCATCCGCTACCTCTGTATCAGCACAGGCATCATCAGAGCCCCCTAAAAAAAGGGAAGACTATTACACAAAGATCTGAGCAACAAGACATATGGCTTTAGGCCGAAATCTCTCACCATAAACCACTTCTGCTTTCACAACTAGTCACACCACCAATGTTCTACTTTGGAAATATTCCTAGAACTTGCTGCAGATTCGTGTAACACAGAACATTGCGCTTTACAAGTTTCTTATCCCTTTTGATGTGGCAACTGCAATAGTTTTATTTTTTCAAGTGCCCCCCTTTTTTCATTTGGTGAACCTGCCAGTAACTGTCAGGGTGACAACACTCATCATACTGTATCTATGAAAGAGCAGCATGGTCATGACAAAGGTAGTTCAGAGGTAACCCCCAACAAAAAACCCCAGCATGCCAACCAGCTTCACTCTCCCTCCCCACCTTTTCAAAATAAAAGGCTTAACACAAGTGGAGTTAAAATGGCCATGATGCCTTTTATTAGAAAAATAACCATAAATAAATTAACTATAAATAACCAAATAAACAGATTCAACGTTACAGTACGGATATTCTGGGCAGCACAGTGGGTAAGTGGTTAGCACTTCTGCCTGGCAGTACTCGGGTCATTGGTTCGAATCCCAGCCATGGCACCACCTGCCTGGAGTTTGCATGTTCTCCCTGTGCCTGCGTGGGTTTCCTCCGGGTACTCCGGTTTCCTCCCACACTCCAAAGACATGCTGATAGGTGAATTGGATCCTGTCTAAATTGGCCCTAGTATGTGTATGTATGAATGTGAGTTAGGGACCTTAGATTGTACGCCCCTTGAGGGTTAGGGACTGATGTGAATGTACAATATATATGTAAAATCTGCGCAAATTGACGGCGCTATACAAGTACCTGAAATAAATAAGTCCATGAAACACCATGGACCCAACCAGTTTTGGTCTGTGCACCATTTTCCAAATGTATATGCCTCCAGCCGCAATACACCGCCTCGGGGGCATTCCCAATTGCCCTCAGACACTTTAATGGGTCTACCAGTACCTGGTCTGTATTACTAGACCCCAGCCAACCAGTGGACACCATACCAACAGATGGGTCCCCACTTTCAAACAGATTTTACCGCCATTCAATGACTGCCAACACCACCTAAAGACCCACCTTAAGCTCTGCCTATCCAAACACCAGGTTGGGAGGAAGGAAGGGTCATCTGATGGCTTCCCGACTTGACTGTTACAGCCCAACCCCTCGCTGCAAACTAATCTCCTCCCCCTCACACCATCTCCTCAGCCAATCACACAAGTACCTCCTGCCTTCGTCCAACTCCAAACCTTAACTCTACGCTGCCTGGTACCCCTTCTACCTGGTCATGTAGGCTCTACTCTTATTCATGCTTCCTAGCTCTGGGCCTTTCCGTTCTCAGCTGCTTGCTTTATTGGACAGCAGAACATTTCCCCTTCTCAACTTTCTAGCATTTGGGGAGGTGCTCTGTAGTTCAACAGTATCCTGAGCCGGACTGATCACATTGCTTAGGATTTCAGAGCAGCACAGGTGAGGTTGTCACTACACTAAGTTGCACGGTCACTGAGTTTCTCGCAGAATCCGCAAGGATTTTTCTTTTGCACTTGCAGGTGTACTCGGTTTACGATCGCCTTGGTTAATGTAATTTTTGGTTTACAAATGAAAAACCATTGAAAATAATGGCTCGGTTTATGAATTTGTTTTTTCGCAATACGAATGGATTAATTGGTTTTCAATGCATTTACAAATTTTTGTTTAATCATGTCCCTGTACACTATTTATGCCTTTAAAGTGCACTTCATAAAAAAGTGTTTTGAACAGATAAACTTTTTTTTTCACTTTTTTCTGACCTCCAGAACGGATTAATTGGTTTTCAATGCAATCCTATGGGAAACCGCATTTCGATTTACGAATGTTTCACAAAATGCAAAAAGTCCCTCAGAACGCATTAAATTCGTAAACCAAGGTACGCCTGTATTAAAATAAAATTTAAATATACAATGGAAAGTGTTTTTTTTTTTTTACTCCAAAAGGGAGCAAATGAGTTTATAGTAAAAGGTTTACATTAAATTTTAAAGTACAACCCATGCAAAATTCATTTTAGATTTTGGTAAATTCCAGTTGATTAACCGTTTCAATACCGTGTGATTTTACACCTTCCTGCCCAGGCCATTTTTCAGGTTTCAGCGCTCTCACACTTTGAATGACAATTGCGTGGTCATACAACACTGTACCCAAACTAAAATTTTATCATTTTCTTCACACAAACTAGAGCTTTCTTTTGGTGGTATTTAATCACCGCTGGGGTTTTTATTTTTTGCTAAATTAACAAAAAAAGACCAAAAATTTTGAAAAAAAAAAAAAAACATTTTTCTTTGTTTCTGTTATAAAAGTTTACAAATAAATAATTGTTCTTCATAAATTTAGGCCGAGATGTATTCTGCTACATGTCTTTGGTGAAAATAACCCAAATTAGGATGTATTTTTTTTAGTTTGTAGGAAAGTTATAGAGTTCACAAACTATGGTATAGATCTGAATATTGATCAATCCAGAAGTACTGACAGCCAATCTAATTTCTTGAGGTCCAAGAATGTCAGAATAGTACAGATATCCCCAAATGACCCCTTTTTGCAGAGTAGACAGTCCGACGTACTTCATAAGAGGAATGGCGAGTTTTTTGAAGTTGTATTTTTTTTGTCATACTTTTTCGGAAAATTAAAAAAATATTTTCACTATTTTTTTTTTTTTTTTTACATACTGTCACCAGTGCAGTACAGCGTCTTCATATAACTGGCATGGCGATGAACATGGACACTGACTGGTGACAGTATGAAAAAAAAAAAAATATATATATTTTTTTTATTACATTTTTTTTAAAGATTTTTTTTTCATATTTTACTATGACCAAAGTAGTACAATGTTACCATAGTAACATTGTACTACTTTGGGGGAGTGATCAGTATTTTTTTTTTTTTTTTTTTTATATACACAGTTTGCTTATAGCAAAGAATTACTTTGCTATAAGCAAGCATTTAGCTGAATGAAATGGATTCATTCAGCTCTTTTTTTTTTTTTTTTTTTGTGCTTAGCTGTGATTTGGTCACAGCTAATCACATGACATGTGCATGTGACCTGCTGTGACCATTCACAGTTAGGCACTAGTATACAATGGATGGCATCATGAATGAAGCCATCCACTGTATACAACTATCATGTGACCTGCTGTGATTGGTCACAGCAGGTCACATGGTACCAGCTACGGGAGCCGGTACTCGGATCTGTCATCGGCCGTGTCCGAGGTGCACGGCCCGTGACAGATCCCGCTGCTGCGCCGCTCTGCCGCGCCGCAAACTGCGCATGTGCGGGAGCACGCCAAATGGCGTGCACCCGGAATTTAAGAGCGCATTTCAAGCCGCCAAACGGCCATTGGCCGGGCGGCTAATGGTTAAATTGCCTACCTGTGCCATATATTTATATAATCCTAAGGCCCGAAAAAAAAAAAAAAAAAAAAAATCACTCAAAAGTGTTCCCAACTAATGCATTCTAATGGCTACAACTCTTTCCAATAGAAATCAAACACCAGATACAAGAACGTGCAATAACACCCATGTAAGAGATGAATCTATCACGTTTGGTGCTGCAAACTCCTGTTGGGAAGAAAATATTTTTTTTGGCTTGCAGTGTGCATGAGGCCTAACTCTGGCAATACGATCTCATAAAATCTCTGCAGGTCTTCCAAGCTACTGCTGCCTTTATTATGGAGTTCCCACTATTCCTGTTAAAGTTCTGATTCATACTTCATTAGGGAGACTGCAATTGAAGGGATCAAGAGCCCCTTGAGGCTCCAACAGACTATTAAACTGGGAACAGATATAAAAGCACCATGAACCCAAGGGATAATTGGAGTGTTTAATGTGGAACTCCAGGCAAAAAAAAAAAAAAAAAAAAAAAAAAAATTCCTTTAAAAGCTGAACTACAACCAGAAAAGTTTTGTTTTTTTTGTAGAAAAAGAGATGGACATAAAGAGGGTTTATTTACTAAAGCTGAAGTGCAAAATCAGGCTCACTTCTGCATAGAAATGGCTGCTTCCAGGTTTTATTGCCAAAGCTTAACTGAAGAAGCGGAGATTGGAAGTGGATTGGTTTCGTCGCAGAGGTCAGCCTGATTTTGCACTCTCCAGCTTTAGTAAATGAACCCATCTGAGTCTCTTTGAAAATAAAAATTCATATCTCCCTCCTTGCAAACATTTTTACATTGGGCACTAAAAAGGTGTGCATATGCAGTCAAACTGTCAGCAAGAGGATAGTCACCAGCAAGAGAGCTTGTGGACATCAAATTACTGAAGAGGGAGTATAGTTTCCCCGAGTAGGAAAAAAAAAAAAAAAATATGAAAAAGGAAGATCCCCTGGTAAGTTTTTACCATTGCTCATTGGGGATTAAAGTGTTACTAAACCCACGACCCTGCATTTACTATGTCTAGTATCACGGTACACAGAACATGGAAATGCAATTTTTTTAGTAAATATAAACTGCTAAATACCTATTCTCATCAGTAGATTTCTATCGGTGTCCAGCTGAGCACTGGTTAAAGCCTGTAGGAGGAGTTTTCATTCTCTCCGGATTCTCCTATGAGGCTGGATAACCCCTGAGCCTCTGCCTGGCCAGTGCTGATTGGCCCTGTGCTGATCACATGCACTCCCCAAGAAAAAAACCCCCAAAAAAAAAAAAACCAAAAAACCCCCCCCCCCCCCCCCCAAACACAACAAAAATAAAACACTCCAAAACTGAGCATGTGCAGCTCCCCTCCCCCCAAGGCTCTGTTATCAGATGAACTGGGGACAGTAGAAGGGGAGGATCAGAGAAGATGGAATCAAACATCCTTTTTACACAATGCAGAGGATTAACCCCTTAGGTTCCACAGTGAGTATAACAAGCATGCTTTACTGCATCTACAGACTGATTTTACTGTTGTGGGTTTAGTAACACTATCATCCAAAACTGCTCACTTCCTGATGGCAACAAAACCTGACAACTTCTAACCCTTCAATGAGTTAATTACCGTTTGTGTCCTTGTTGACATAAAGTGAAGAACAGACTGCAATAAAAACCTAAAAAAGTAGTAATAACTATTCCTTACTCTATACTCACTATCCAAAAGTGATAGAAAAAAAATTAAAAAAAACGCTACCCAAGGATGAGAAGAAAAAAGCACTCTAGATCTGTGAATAGTACCCATCACTTTGGTTTCAGCAGTTGAAAGGCTTACATTTTAAAGTTCACTTTCAAAACATGCTCCATCCATGTCTAGGTTGGAACCTGTAAAAGGTTCCAGCATCTGCAGCCTGTCCCCAATCCCTGTGACAACAGGGGAATCTTCTCCCAACACCTGCTGTCACAATTTGAAAATAATGGGGCCATGTGGGGCTCCATTCACATAAAAAAAAAAAAAAATAATCATAATAATCATAATGTGAACTTATGCTTTAAAGAGAAACTATATGATAAAAAAAAAAAATGGCATATGATTAGGTCTGTCACTAGCAATAACACAGATTTTATTAGTTGTAGAATCAAAGTTCACACTCCTTCTTACGGATGAGAGAGCGATAGTCTGTCGAGTCACTGCAGAGAGACCACTGCTTCCATGAAGAGAGCAGAAGTCCTTGTCTGAAAGCACATCTAGCCAGACTGTAACCGCTTTAACAAAATAAGCTGCAAGACTTCACACATTTTTCTTTGACGCATCTTGAAAAAAGTGGTCAGCCAATTTCAGGAAAGAAGAATGTAGCAACCGAATGCATGTACTCCTGCGCTGAACTGTGGACTCCCTGCTATAGTTGTCCCCCACATGGATGAGAGACATGCAGGCCTTGCTGACCTCAACATACCAGGGATATCCAAAAGAAGCTATATGTGAAAGACAAAGAAAAAAAAAAAAAAAAAAAAAGAAGAAGAGAGGGCGCACAGGGCTAGTGCATGCTCTAGTTCAGCCAATTTCCACTGGGCTTTACCATACACCTCTGTATGACTAGACACTGAACCTACCTGAGAAAATGTAATTATACCCGGTTCTTCCATACAACTCTCCCCATCCAGCCAGGGTCGCCGACCTGCAGATGTGCTGTAACAAGTAAAATACCATTCTTTGAAGATTGTTCATAGTCAGCTGGATTACACATTTCAATTATGAATGGAAAACCAGGGTCAAGTTAACACTTATGAACATCTGAAGATACAGGCAGGACATCTTTCTGCCAGAGCTCCCATGTCTGCTACCTAAGCTGGTCATACTTGCAGCAAATTTCGACCGGCCAAAATTCACTCAGTAAGTAGCCCTGATGGCTTCCTTCGGCCTGACATCTTTTGATTGATATATCCAATCTGATAAATGAATGCAGGAATATCTAGCATACACTACTAAAATAAATAAAGAATATATTTAATATTCAACAACAAGGATCTGCTACCACCACCCAATAATCATCTCCTGAATGTGGAAACATCCCTCAAACAACCCACCAAGTTAGTTGTGTTTTTTGGGGCAGGCCAGACTCCAGGCCGTGCTTAGATGCAGCAAGGGATGCTAGATAAAAGATAGCTAGCACTCTTATGATTGGATTCTCCAATCCACACAAGGTGGATGGAGGACCCCCCAAGCTTGACCATTCTTCTCTGATAGCAAGGAATCTCCGCTGTCAGAATATACTGATCAGCAGATTCAGTCACTACTCAATGAAAGCTTTCCAGCATGATAGTTTGAACAGAAGTCCATCTAATGCCAACAAGAAGGGCCACACAGATCGAAACTGGACCAGCCCTACCGAACTTTGATCTGTCTACACCCTACATCTACTTTAGGATACACCACCTCCTTACATGATTTCACTAGACTATTTTAGACCATGGATTTCTAGCAGAGCACATCTAAACTTTACTGAATGCTCCAAAAGTTTGCGCTTCTAGAGAGTGAGGGTTGATTTAGGATAAGAGGAGTTAAAATTGCATACCTTCCCCTTATAGAGAATAACCGGGCAGACGAAACGACCTCTGCATCGCGCCATCTTACTGCGGTTGATGAGGTCCTGCAGCTTGCCAACTTGCACTGTGCTTTCAAACCTGCAGCAAAAATAAGTGGGAGAATGGAAAGTCAGTTATCTACAATTGGCAATCTTCCAAAAAAGTACAACCTGAAGCAATTAAAAAAAATTAGTTTAAAAAAGAGCAACAAAAGGTGTACAGTGCAAAAAAAAAAAAAAAAAAAAAAAAAAACCCTCAGAAACCAGATTCTACATTCTAGCAAAAAGATCAGCTAAAAAGGTGCAAAACTGGCTGCTAAGCTACTGTACTTTACCGGTTCTTACAAAATCACTGCACTTCCTATTAACCCCAACTTCAGGCTAAATTGAATTTTTAAAGCCCAAATCTGCCCACACTGCAAGGGTTAATTGCAGTTTAGGGTAGCAATAGGAGATATAAAAAAGGAAATTCCACGGTAAAAATGGTTGGACTTTAATGGCACTGCATGAAAAGAAAAAAAAAAAAAAAAAAAAAAAAAAAAAAAAAAAAAAAAGAAGGGCGATAGGAGGGCCCCGCTCCTCGGAGCTTACAATCTAGGAGGGAGGGGCCAGTGGTACAAAAAGGTAACTGTGGGGGATGGACTGGTTGGAAGAGTAGAAGATTCCATTATTAGCTGAGGGCAGGATAGGCTTTCCTGAAAAGATAGGTTTTCAGAGATTGCCTAAAAGGTGAGCAGAGTAGGCGATAGTCTGATAAATTGGGGTAGAGAGTTCCAGAGGATGGGAGAAGCTCTGGAGAAGAGCATGGGAGGAGGAGACAAGGGAGCTAGAGAGCAGGAGGTCTTGCGAGGAGCGGAGAGTACGGTTTGGGTGATATTTGGAGACAAGATCGGTGATGTAATTTGGGGCAGAGTTATAAAATGGCTTTATACATTATTGATAATGTTTTGAATTTTATCCGTTGGGCAATGGGAAGCCAGTGGAGGGATTGGCAGAGAGGGGTGGAGAACACCGAGTGGAGGCCAGTGGAGGGATTGGCAGAGAGGGGTGGAGGACACTGAGTGGAGGCCAGTGGAGGGATTGGCAGAGAGGGGTGGCATATACAGAATGGTTAGTAAGGTGGATGAGCCTGGCGGCAGCATTCATGATAGACTGAAGAGGGGATAGCCTGCGATGAGGTCCCAATGAGGAGGGAGTTACAATAGTCAAGGCGAGATATAACAAGGGAGTGAATAAGTTGCTTAGTGGTTTCCAAGGTTAGGAACGGGCATATCTTGGAGATGAAGTCTACAAGATTTGGACAGTGATTGGATTTGGGGCTGAAAGGACAGATGGGAGTCAAGGAGTACACCTAGTACCCTGGCATGAGGGGAGGGACTGATGATTTACTTCTAAAGAGATGTTCTAGAACAGCTAAATCTGTGTCTGTGTAGGTTTGTTCAAACCTTAATACCATAAACATTAGATTTTTTTGTACTCCAGAAATAAATTAGTTTGAAAAATTCTACAGAGAAAGTCATAAATATTGCATTACCAATTTAAATAAAACCAATTAGATTTTAGTTGACCAAAATGTACTGTAGATTTTAGTAGCGTAAAATACGACAAACTAAAACAAGATTCATAGATTCAACAAGGTGTTGGAAACATCCCTCAGATTCTGGTCCATATTGACATGAGTTTACTGTTGCCTATCATCTCAAAGCAGTCTGCCCATTCTCTATCAACAAGGCATTTTTGCCCACACAATTTCTGCTCACTGGATATTTTCTCTTTTTCGGACCAAGCTCTGTAAACCCTAAAGTTGGTTGTGCATGAAAATCCCAGTAGATCAGCAGTTTTTGAAATACTCAGACCAGCCCGCATGACACCAACAACCACACCATGTCCAAAGTCACTTAAATTGCCTTTCTTCCCCATTCTGATGCTCAGTTTGTACTTCAGCAAGTAGTCTTCACCTAGTCTAGATGCCTAAATGCATTGAGTTGCTGCCATGTGATTGGAGGATTAGTAATTTATGTTACCAAGCAATCGAACAGGTGCACCTAATAAAGTGGGCGGTGAGTGTACTTACCTAATCCTCCACTCCATTCGCCTAGCACGGTCCCCGCGGCTTCTACACCCCATGCTCTAGAACCTCGACATAAAGACCAGATGTCGTTGCATGCAATTATGTGATTGAGTATTCTTTGCAAAGTTAATTTTCCTTGCATTCACTAAACTAAGGGAAAATGTCACTATAAACCAATTAGCCTAGCCATTTGCCTTTAGTGAATCAACCCCACAATGTATTGATGCAGGGATTGACACCAGTGCTTTTCTCTGCATCATCCAGGATGGATCAGCACCAGGAAATAACAGAAGTGGAAAAATCCCCAGCACATTTTATTTATTTATTTATTTCAGGTGCTTATATAGCGCCGTCAATTTATGCAGCACTTTACATATATATTGTACATTCACATCAGTCCCTAACCCTCAAGGGGTGTACAATCTAAGGTCCCTAATTCACATTCATATATACAGGTGAAACTCGAAAAAGTAGAATATCGTGCAAAAGTTCATTTATTTCAGTGCAGCAACTTAAAGGTAAAATATATGACAGACTCATTACATGCAAAGCAAGATAGTTCAAGCCGTGATTTGTCATCATTGTGATGATTATGGCTTACACAGCTCATGAAAACCCCAAATCCACAATCTCAGAAAATGAGAATATTGTGAAAAGGTGCAATATTCTCGGCTCAAAGTGCCCCACTCTAATCAAGCCATAACACCTGCAAAGGGTTCCTGAGCCTTTAAATGGTCTCTCAGTCTGGTTCAGTAGGAATCACAATCATGGGAAAGATTGCTGACAGTTGTGCAGAAAACCATCATGGACACCCCCCATACGGAAGGAAAGCCTCAAAAAGGTAATTGCAAAAGAAGTTGGATGTTCCCAAAGTGCTGTATCAAAGCACATTAATAGAAAGTTATGTGGAAGGGAAGAGTGTGGAAGAAAAAGGTGCAAAAGCAGCAGGGATGACCGCAGTCTGGAGAGGATTGTCAGGAAAAGGCCATTCAAAAGTGTTGGGGACTTTCACAAGGAGTGGACTGAGGCTGGAGTCAGTGCATCAAGAGCCACCACACAGACGGATCCTGGACATGGGCTTCAAATGTTGTATTCCTCTTGTCAAGCCGCTCCTAAACAAACAACGTCAGAAGCGTCTTACCTGGGCTAAGGAAAAACAGACCTGGTCTGTTGCTCAGTGGTCCAAAGTCCTCTTTTCTGATGAGAGCAACTTTTGCATCTCATTTGGAAACCAAGGACCCCAGAGTATGGAGGAAGAATGGAGAGGCCCAAGGACCCCCGAGTATGGAGGAAGAATGGAGAGGCCCAAGGACCCCCGAGTATGGAGGAAGAATGGAGAGGCCCAAGGACCCAGGAGTATGGAGGAAGAATGGAGAGGCCCAAGGACCCAGAGTATGGAGGAAGAATGGAGAGGCCCAAGGACCCCGAGTATGGAGGAAGAATGGAAAGGCCCAAGGACCCAGAGTATGGAGGAAGAATGGAGAGGCCCAAGGACCCAGAGTATGGAGGAAGAATGGAGAGGCCCAAGGACCCAGGAGTATGGACAAAGAATGGAGAGGCCCAAGGACCCCGAGTATGGAGGAAGAATGGAGAGGCCCAAGGACCCAGAATATGGAGGAAGAATGGAGAGGCCCAAGGACCCCGAGTATGGAGGAAGAATGGAAAGGCCCAAGGACCCAGAGTATGGAGGAAGAATGGAAAGGCACACACTGCAAGATGCTTGAAGTCCAGTGTGAAGTTTCCACAGTCTGTGTTGATTTGGGGAGCCATGTCATCTGCTGGTGTTGGTCCACTGTGCTTCATTAAGTCCAGGGTCAACGCAGCCGTCTACCAGGAGATTTTGAAGCACTTCATGCTTCCTTCCACAGACGAGCTTTATGGGGATGCTGACTTCATTTTCCAGCAGGACTTGGCACCTGCCCACACTGCCAAAAGCACCAAAACCTGGTTCAATGACCGTGGGATTACTGTGCTTGATTGGCCAGCAAACTCGCCTGACCTGAACCCCATAGAGAATCTATGGGGCATTGACAAGAGAAAGATGAGACATGAGACCGAACAATGCAGAAGAGCTGAAGGCCGCTATTGAAGCATCCTGGTCTTCCATAACACCTTAGCAGTGCCACAGGCTGATAGCTTCCATGCCACGCCGCATTGAGGCAGTAATTGCTGCAAAAAGGGGCCCAAACCAAGTACTGAGTACATAAGCATGCTTCTACTTTTCAGAGTTCCGATATTGTTCTATGTACAATCCTTGTTTTATTGATTGCATGTAAATATTCAAATTTTCTGAGATTGTGGATTTGGGGTTTTCATGAGCTGTAAGCCATAATCATCACAATGACGACAAATCACGGCTTGAACTATCTTGCTTTGCATGTAATGAGTCTCTCATATATTAGTTTCACCTTTTAAGTTGCATTACTGAAATAAATGAACTTTTGCACGATATTCTAATTTTTTGAGTTTCACCTGTACACATAATAGGCCCAATTTAGATAGGATCCAATTAACTTACCAGCATGTCTTTGGAGTGTGGGAGGAAACCGGAGTAACCAGAGGAAACCCATGCAGGCAGAACATGCAAACTCCAGGCAGGAGGTGCCGTGGTTGGGATTCGAACCAACGACCCTAGTACTGCCAGGCAGAAGTGCTAACCATTTAGCCACTGTGCTGCCCACATGTGGCTGGGCAAAAGACAGAAGGGAAAAGAAAAAAAAAAAAAAAAAAAAAAAGAATACACCACAAAAACAAAACACTGCTGGGCTCAAAGGGGTGGGAGATTCTCTTGAATGGGGAGGGGGGGGGGGGGGGGGGTTAGATCCCAGAAAAGAAGCTTCCTACTAATTTTGGATTCAGAGTACACCAATGATTGAATGGCACTTGTGTCGTATTCAGCAGACCAACCAGATTATGTGAATATACTATAAGAAAACACTTTTTATATTTACAAGGCAGATTAGCAATGTAGACAGTAATCCAGATGTAACACGGCGGATAACATGAGCTTTGGAGAATCTGGCAAAATC